AAAAAAAACTGCAATAAAATGAAAGCCTCCTGAAAATAATATCAAATGTAGATAGGAAAAATATGTGGAAAACTTGGTGTGGAGATGAGATCTCCTTCCCAAGGGGAATGACTTTCAAATCCAGGTTGGATGGGGCTTGGAGCAACCTGGGATAGTGGAAGGTGTCCCTGCCCATGGCAGGGTGTGGAATGAGATGAGCTTCCAACCCAAACCATTCTAGGATTTTCTGATTCTGTGACCTGCCCATCTCTGCACATCCACATGGAAACAGAAAATCCAGGATGTAAGGTATGGAAGGATGAAGCTACTGCAGTACTGACTTCTTCTTAGTGCACATCAACACACTTTAGATCTGGAGCAGTAGGAAACCACAGGAATAACATGAATCCTAGAGAAGTTCATTACACACTGCAGTTCCCTTCTTGCAGATCAACATCCATCCCATCAAACCAGGAATGAACAGTAACATGTTTGCTATGGTGACAGGACTGAAAAGAAAAAAAAAAAAAAAAAATAAAAACCTCACAGTTCCTCGAGTCTATTTTTCTTCATTGCTTTTTGGGAAAGAAAACCCATAAGGTAGCACAGGTTGTAGCCAACTAACTTGGAAAGCAACCTAATTAAACCAAAACATCTCCTTCAGCACCCTCAAGATGCATATTTCCCCAAATATAAACTAGAACATCTTTCTGACGTTTCTTTGATGATCACTTTTCTGTTTCTGATTTCTTGTTTTATGATCACTGAGGAAGAACTGGGGAGTTCTCAGTCCCCTTCCACCAGACCAGGTCGCTGGTTCACAGAGGAAAGGCCTAGATTTGGGTCTTATTCCTGAAGTCAGAAGTAGATGTTGAGAAGGAACTCGTGTCAGAAGGCAAAGCTGGCACGTGGTGCCCTCATGTTGTGGTACCAGCACCACCATCCAGGTTGGACAGGGCTTGAAGAAACCTGGTCTGGTGGAAGGTGTCCCTGCAATGGGCAGGGGGGGTCGAACAAGCTGATCCTGAAGGTCCCCTCCAACCCAAACCACTCTGTGATTCTGGGATTACAGGCACATCCAACTCTCACACCGGACAGGTCAAGCCCAACCTCACGGGAGCTAAGTTGAACCATCCTGAAGAATGGATGGAAAAAGGGAGAGACTGAGCTTGGAGTTAAAAAATGTCATATCCTTATACATAAACCAGTGAGGGATTCCCAAAACCAAGATATTAAGATTAATACAACAAGCTGCAAGGCTTAGTGCTGAGATTATCTTTAGGTGAAGCACAATGCCCACGGGAGTCCCAGCTCGGAGGGAACTCCTGGCTCCCAGGCATCTCTCTCAGTTCCAAGGGGAAGAATTTCACTTTGGACCTAAACCAGACCAAAACCAACTTGCATTTCTCTAAAAAGAGGACAGATTTTCTGTAGGAATCTTTGTTTTGTGAGAGACTTCCCATTTTAAGGGATTTCTTCTTGCTGAAAATAATGACCAGTTTACTAAAGAACAACCAAGCTTTTGGTCTCTAACCTGACTCTCCTACACTGGAATGCCTTCCAAATATTTTTTAAGAGGAAGGAAAAAAAAAAAGCTTATTCAAAATACTGCATCATCACCCAGAACTCTGCTCTCCTTATCCTGGTATCCAGACTGTGCTCACAAACTGTTTCTAGCAGTTAACGCTGATAGAAACTCTATTTTTCAGGAATTCTGCACTGCAAATCAGCCTAAATTTTACATGAAATGCTCTGCCAACAGTGAAATCCTTGCTGGCATGAAGGAGATGAATTCCATGCAAGTGTTTATGTAGATAATTATGTGAAAACAAGAAAGTAAAAGTCCAAAGCCCTGGGGTATCAACAACAGAATTAATTTATATAGAAATAATTGAATTTATACTGTACTAACACACTCCCAGAACACAGAGCTCTGAAAGTGCCTGATGGAAACCAAACACTGGGACACCATGGGGTGTTCTTGGGGCTTACAGAGAATTCTAACAGGGTGGTTCAAAGAAGACAACATTACTAAATATGTAAAAAAATCACCTCTGAAAAGCTAAAATTATTCAATGAGGAAAATATTGCTTTAAGAAAATTTAATGAAAAATAACATCCAACTAGAAAACGAATGTATCACCATAACCAGTGGAGCTTGAGAATGACAATGATGCTAAAACAAGCAGAGCTGAATGTGTCAGTTGAGAAATCAGGATTTCAAACTCATCATGCAAAAATCATCTCATTTTTAAATCCTTATATCAAAGGACCATTTTCATCAGCTTAACGAGGCTGCCTTATACTAGCAAATATGTTTTTAAGTATATGAAAATCTGGAATTATTGTGCATTTAAAGATCATCATATAATAGAATCACAGATTGGTTTAAGCTGCAAGAGGCCTTAAAATCCATCTTCTTCCACCCCCTTTGCTTATGGCAAAACCTTCTCCTCTGTTCTCAGTCCTACAGTGACCACCACGGGTCTCAAACACCCTGATGAGGGGAGAAAAGAGAGTTTTAGCAGTAAAATCAAGGTTAGATGGGATATTGGGAAGGCCAGGTTGGACTGGGCTTGGAGCAACCTGGGCTAGTGGAAGGTGTCCCTGCCCATGGCAGGGGGTGGGACTGCATGGGCTGTCAGGTCCCTTTAAACTCAAATAGTCTGTGATTCTATAACTTGGAAGATTTTATTGAAAACCTCTTACTATTAAATGATTTCTCAAGCAGCAGAGCAGAGGCTGAACATGATCAGCAGAAACCTGTGTGGAAGGAGGAGAGACTGGCACAGGAGGAGGTTGTTAATCTACAAGCCAGATAATTACTAATTTGAATGGTTGTTTGCAGGCTTACAGAGATGAATGAAAATGTCCCAACTGGAAACCAATTTTAAACAAAAAGACAAAAGAATGTGGCACCTACCACAATATGTTTATGGTTTTACCTATAAAGAGGCCCTCACAGAGTCATGCACGTTCCTCTGAGGGCAACTATTGACTATTCTTTATATCCTCAGTAAATAAAGGCCTTCACCAACTCATCTGCAGACTTTAAATGTTGTATCTTTAGTAAGAGCTTTTAGTATCTGATCAATAGCTTGGGGGAAAAAAAACCATTTTACAAGTCTAAGTTTAACAGTAGTGACATTTGAATGTCGACTTCTGAAAGATTTTTAAAAGGGGAAATGAAAAACAGGTCTTGCTTCTGCTCTGAGAGAGCATAATAAGTACAAGCAAATATAAACTAGTGCTGTTTTTTCCCCCATCAGAAATAGCACAGAATACAGACATTTTGCTTTTTAGTTCTTTTGCTCAGCCAAAAGAGGACAGGGTCAGATGGGAAGGAATTGTTGGCTGTGAGGGTGGGGAGGCCCTGGCACAGGTTGGCCAGAGATGCTGTGGCTGCCCCTGGATCCCTGGAAGTGTCCAAGGCCAGGTTGGACGGGGCTTGGAGCAACCTGGGCTAGTGGAAGGTGTCCCTGCCCATGGCAGGGGGTGGAACTACATGATCTTTGTGGCCTATTCCAACTCAAACCATTCCATGGTTTGCCTTTGGTGTCATGTTAAAATTTAGGTAATCTGAGCATGTTCCTCCAAATAAAAAGCAACTTTTGAGGCCAAATAATCATCTAGAACAGCAAGAACTCTACGTTGCCTTTGGCTTTTAGAAGGAAAGAAGTCTTAAAAGAAGTAGATTTACCCTGTTGTGAACTTTTGTCCGTCCACCAGAGTGCCAAGAGCTGTACCCAGAGCCCCAGAGCACTTGGCTACAACACAACTTCCAACTACTCATATTCACATCTTCAAACCTTTAAAATATTTAAGAAAATTGACATTGTCAGCACCAGCTGATCATTTTCTAAGCTAAACAACCAGCCTGCAGCATTTCAGAAATGCTGATTTCTCATCTCAGGGCCAGGCACATCAAACGGTTTGGGTGTAATTTCCCATTAACACTTGATGTTATATAGGCTGGGTATTTTGTCACGTAAAAAATAAGGCCATTTTTTTCCTACTGCTGGATTGTTCATTAGTGTACATTGGCAAGGAAGCAGAGGAGCAGGTGCTCTGCCCCTGCATGGGCAGGGAAGGGGCAGAGATGCCCCTGTTAACAAAGCAACACTGAATTATTTGAGGTCAATCGAATAATTTGGGTGAGGAAGGTCCTGGGCTTCAGGGCAGAACCTTCAGCAGCATTCCCTGAAGTAATCCTGACTGGATCTACCTTCCACATCTTCAAAGTTCCCCACATGAGTTATTTCCCCACTTCATTTAAAAACAACCATGGAGAAACTTCGCAGATACCTGTTTGTATTTAACAAACTGAAAATAACTTTACAAGAGTCTAAATTTGTGATTTACAGAGAAATAGCAAAGTACTTATGCATAAATACTGACTTAAGAATTTTCATTTTAAACTCGCCACGACATTCATGTTGACAGGTTCTTTTTAATTTATTTATTTTAATGTGTAGAAAAAAAGCAGCTGCATACCTTAAAAACCCCTTTTTAATTAAAACTGACCAAATCAGAGACAATCACAGGTAAATGAGGAATCACTGCTGTAAGAGACTTCAAACCAGAGCACGACAAAGCACAGATCCAGGCTGGATGAGTACAGGAAATGTTATTGAAAAAGCATTTTCTTCCTTTTAAGACACAAACATCCCTAAAACAGACTTCACTGAGAGGTACAAAATTTCTAAATATATCCTATTTTGCAGTATTATATCCTATACATTCCTCCTAATATAATGCATTTAATTTATTGCTCCATGCTAAGTTTGCTCAGTGTGAAAGTAGAGAAAATATTAATCCACCTCCAAAAAAATTAATTTCTTCATGGAAGCTGAATATGCTGATTGTGGTCCTGGTTTCCTAAATGGCTTGATTTTCGTGTTAAATATTAAAATTTAAAAAATAATCTTGAAGGTCTGATTATTATGAAAAAAAAATCACAGAAAACAAAACATATGTTAAAAGAAATCAGTTTTTAATGATTTCATGTTCTGTCTTTCCAGGCTTTCGTATCGGACTGGTCAGGACACGGCGAACTGCGACACGTGCAGGAACAGTGCATGTATTATCTACAGGTAGGTTCAAAAAATATTAGTATTCCCATTTTTTCCTGAGTGAAAGCCATGATTTAGTCACTAATGAAGGCTCAGTGGTTGGCCTTGATTTTTCGAATCAACACAACATAAATTTAACTTTGCCTAATTAATAAAATTCAAGTGTAAGTCTGAATTTTCAGATCAGAAATAGATGATCGTGGTCAGTGCTGCTGGAGCTCTGGGATGTGAGGGGCTACAAGGTGGGAGATTCAAGATTTTGGGATATTTAGGATTTTCTGACCAACAAGTCAACTTCAAATTTACTTTTGTACGCTTCCGTACACCAAATTTTTTTTATAGCAGTAACACCTGGACTTGGGAAATCATTCTGAGAGAGGGAATGTACAACAAAGAGAACCAGATATGGGTTAAATCCAGACAGTTTTAGCAATAAAATCAGGGTTAGATGGGATATTGGGAAGGAATTCTTGGCCGTGAGGGTGATGAGGCCCTGGCACAGGTTGCCCAGAGAAGCTGTGGCTGCCCCATCCCTGGAAGTGTCCAAGGCCAGGTTGGATTTGGAGCAACCTGGGCTAGTGGAAGGTGTCCCTGCCCATGGCAGGGGGTGGAATGAGATGGTTTAAGGTCCCTTCCAACCCAAACCACTCTGGGATTCCATGATTGTTATACACTGACACTCCTACCCAGGCCTTTTTTTGGCACGTCCTTGTATTACAGTGAAGGAGTAACATGACATGAGGCCATCATGAGTCTGATGATGTGTCTCATACTGACAACTTAATTGTCCTTCTCCATTAGAACCTTAAAAAACCAAATGAATGTTTTCATGCATTGCAGGAAGGAGGAAAACAAACATGTCTCAGAGTGTGTCACAAAATCAGGCACCACAGTACAAATGCAAATGTGCAAACGTGACAATTCCATGGAGGTACAAATGTTGCCCAGGACTGAAAAGTGTAGGATTTCCCCCCTCACTCCTTAGTTCTCTACTCAGTCTGGTTCAGACAGAAGAGCTGAAGGTATTTATTTAGCTATTGTCTCCTTACTACACAGAAGTGAAGGGAAAAAAGGATGGAAACCTTCAGCTCCATCTTCCCAACCACAACAGGGTTCTGTGCAGGGGCAGGAACCAATTAATTTCTTTATTCCTCCTTTAAAGTCATGTTTAGAGGCATATAAATAAGCAAAGCCTCCCATGCCTCCCTTTTCCTGAGCAATTTCTGGCTCAGGGCAGCCTGGAGGTACAACCCAGCACAAATCCATCAGGGAATTATTCTTGTTTCATTAGCGAAACAAAATCCAATTAGAATTTTTTTTTTTTAAAATCTTGACTTCTACGCAGTGGATTTCAAGTTAAAGAATAAAACCCGAAGGTTCCTTTGCTCCCTGCAAATGAAACGGCTCCAGAAAAGCAGATTTGAAGTGTTTCCCTAATGGGAGATGGTGGAACAGGCAGGGCCAGCTCTCCATTCCCACCCCAACTGCCTTTGGAGTGGACATTTGCCTAAAGCCATGTTTGCAGGGCAGGTTTTAGCACAAAACAGCTCAGCTTTTTGCCAGTTTAGGAGAACAAGTGCTGCAGGCAAAAAACCCTAAAAGCAGAGACACTGCAAACCAGGGAGCCACGAGAAAAGTGAATTACTGAGACAAGATAAGCAGCCAGAAGGGATAAAACAGGAATTCACTGATAAAACCAGCACTGAGACAGATTGTCTTGTAGGAACTTCTGCTCCTCCACAAATCAGCTACTCCCTGACACCTCAGAGTGCAGCAGTTCATTAGTGAGGATGTTAATTAAATCCACATGCACCTTTGCCAAGGGTTCACATGTCAAACACTGCAGAGTTACCTGATTTCTCTTCAAGGCAAAAACACCTCTCAGGACCAAAAATTAAAGCTCAGCTTAAACTGTTCAAGGGGCAGTAGAACCCGGAGGAAACATCCCTGTCACACCAGGAGGTCCTTAGTCTTGAGCTCTTTTGCCCAATTAATACATAGGAAAGACTTAAATAAAAATATAACCAAAGGCTTGATTGCACAAATCAATAATTTAAAGAGAAAACCTTCAGTTTGCTGTAATTGACTGTGTAGGTTGTTTAAATATGGTTCAATTTTGAATGCTCTAACATTAAAAAAAAAAAAAAATTAGAGCTGTTTCAAATGTATATTTTTAAACTGCAGTGAAACAGCAGCTTAGAGGAAGGATTAGGTTACCCAACTGCATCCTGCAGTGCCAGGTATAGCACAGGTGAGAAGGTGGAAATCCATGGAATTCAATTCTTCTCCCTCAAGATGAATTTTCAGAGTATTAATATAATGTAGCACAGAAGCCAGAGACAGTGTAGAAGGCAACAAAAAACCCCTGTTGTACTTTATAGGGTTTTTAGCATCAAAACCATCCATACTGTTAGTAAAAATTCCTTTTGGCAATAGTTATTTGGCATGTTAAACTTAAATTTTTGCTAAGATTACAAATCTACTTGTACATTGTTTTCTCTTTATATTGAAAAGAATACATATTTCTTAGTATTAAAGGAAAAAAAAGGAAAACTTTCTCATTTTTCTTAAATAAGTAGGAAACTGACAATCAAATATTAAACAGTATTAAAAAGAAAAGGTACCAAAGCCTGAAACTGTTTTAGAAATCAGGAAGAAAAGAAAAACATCCAGATTTAGATGCTCTATTTTCCTCAAAATTCTGCTTATTTCTGCAATATGTTCAGGAACTTGGAGCTCCAGACACAGGAGTCACTGACATTTTCTTCCACTGCATCAGATGAGCCACAGACTTAAAACTGTCACTAAAATTATTCAGCATCGTGTCTTTATAGTCATTTCCAGACTGTATTTAAAAGAGGACCCGAAAATGTGATGAAATGGTAAAAACAACCAACCACTTTATCATTTCCCCCATCAGTATCAATATCTCATGACCCAACGTCACAGAACAGCTTCAAAACCATCCTCTACAAACACAAGACAAATGTCCACGTCTCTACTTTACAAACTAATGTTGATTCACCACTGACATTTTTAAAATAAGTTTTATCAGGGTATATATTTCCAGGATAAAGTCAACTTAAATACTGAAATGAAGCAAAATCTTGCTATTAAGAAGAAATTGCATTATTATGCAGTCCCTGTATCAATCTGAAACACCCAAAACCCACGTGGACTCAAATCTCCACAGTCTGGTTTATTCTGTAATTATCTTTTCCTGGAACTGTCCTTTCTGCTCCTGTTTAATTTCCCAGCCTGGGTGAATTTTAATCCTTGAGTAGAAATCTGGAGGAGAAAAAGGGGATTCTCTGTAATGTTTTGTGCAATATTCTTAGGCCTTTAGCAGGAATTACTTCTGTGAAGGAGCATCTTGGAGGATTCCTGCTGGATTTCCCTTTAATGGGAAAGGTCAGGAATACTCAGTAGCTTTTACAAGGCTACCCTGGCTCCTGGAAGGAAACTTTTAGGAGATCAAATCCCAACCAATTTCTGCCTATGGAGAACAAGAATTCAGCTCTGCACTATTGTTCTTTGCAGGGGAGGAATCACTCCAAGTGGTACCAACCATTACTCTGGCTGCTTTTTACTCCTTTGAAATTTTGATTTATGCTGCTGTATTTTTATTTGATATTAATCTAAGGTGGACTCACATTATTCAACAGAAAATGTATTCTTAGAATCTATTAAATGCAATTCACTATAAAATCTGCAAGAGAAATGTGTTGTAATAGAAGGATAAAGCTAAAAGTTAGCAAAGAGCCCGCATGTAAAGGTTAGATATTTAATTTACTAATTATTAAAATTAATAAATATGGCCATACAAAGTGAACATAAGGCATCAATCCCTAAAATTGCAACACTCTAATAAAATCAGGTGATTAAATTATTAGAATAGTCATTTTCATCACCTTTTTATTTCCTACCCACATTAATTAATTTATATGTTCTCATCTTATCTCTAGACTGTAAGATACTTAGTGGGAAAAAATGGATCTCGGTGGCTTGTTAACGCTGGCAGGGCTTTGGATCCCAGGCTTTGGGGATTTTTGGGTTGCAATAGGAAATTTAATGTGCTGGAAAGTGCATTAAGGTAATTTCCAAGTGATTAGTGCTTATCTGGATCCTGTTTTTCCAAGATGTGGCACGAACTAATGCCATGTCATCCAATTAACGTGACCCAGGAAGAGACAGGAAGAAATTCTTTAATTCCTGCTTCACCTACTCGACCTAAATTCAAAGGGTTCAGCTGCTCTGTAGGTGCTTGGAGGATTTGGGCTTAACTTTGGAAACTGCAGGATAAAAAGGTGAACTGAAGGGGTGTCACCTGAAATGAGAGCAGAGGGAAGGGCTGCCTGGAGCCTTCGCAGGCTCCAGCCTTGGAGGTGACAACAGACAAGTGGAGGAAGGACATGAAGCTGCTGGAGAGAGTCCAGAGAAGGCACCACAATGACGAGAGGGCTGGAGCAGCTCTGCTGGGAGGAAAGGCTGAGAGAGCTGGGATTGATCAGCCTGGAGAAGAGAAGCTTTGGGGTGACCTGACTGTGGCCTTCCAGGACCTGAAGGAGGCCTCAGGAAAGAAGGAGAAAGACTATTTACAAGGGTCTGGAGTGACAGGACAAGGGGGATGGCTTCAAACTAACAGAGCAGGTTTAGAGAAATCCTTCCCTGTGAGGGTGGGGAGGCCCTGGCACAGGTTGCCCAGAGAAGCTGTGGTTGCCCCATCCCTGGAAGTGTCCAAGGCCAGGTTGGACGGGGCTTGGAGCAACCTGGGCTACTGGAAGGTGTCCCTGCCCATGGCATGGGGGTGGAACTTGATGGGCTGTAAGGTCCCTTCCAACACAAACCATTTTGGGATTTTATGATTCCCTGATCAAACCCTCGGCAACCTAATCCTGAATCCCTCTGATTCAGCAATCCTGCAGTACCCAACAGATCATCAGCATCTCACAGTCTTAAAAGGATTCATGACAATAATGTGTGACTGTGCTAGAAAATAAGAAAACCCATTCCTACCTCTGAGCCTATTGCTTGATCCCCTCCCACAGTCCATCTGCTTAATCCCAATGGTTATCACTCCTCAAACTCTGCTTTCAGTCCCTCATAAAGCAACTAAATTAGCAAAGGTTCACTGCTGCCTGCATGCAAAAAATAAATTAACTAAGTTCTCAAAATAGTTAAAAAAACAAAGCCAAATCCAGAAAGTCCACATCAATTCCTCAGGTCCCTGACAGAAGAGCTGGAGAGGGATTTTGGACAAGGGATGGAGGGACAGGACAAGGGGGAATGGCTTCCCACTGTCAGAGGGCAGGCTTAGATGGGATATTGGGAAGGAATTGTTGAGTGTGAGGGTGGTGAGGCCCTGGCACAGGTTGCCCAGAGAAGCTGTGGCTGCCCCATCCCTGGAAGTGTCCAAGGCCAAGTTGGACGGGGCTTGGAGCAACCTGGGCTAGTGGAAGGTGTCCCTGCCCATGGCAGGGGGTGGAACTGGATGATCTTTTAAGATCCCTCCCAACCCAAACCATTCTTACTGTGAAGGGATTACAGACATCTTAATTACAAAGTTCTTCCTGGTGTTTAATGAGCACATCAAAATTAAATTCTCAAAGAGCTGTTATTTGGTTTTACTTGGCCAACTTTTCATAGGAAAGACTTTGATGGAAATACCAATATACAGGCAACTGCCCTGAAATGTAAAGTTCTGGCTGTAAACCGTGTAAGTACAGAGTTATTGTGGGGAGAAAAGCCAGAAAACCAAAGTATTTATCAGAGACAGAATTTTCCTGTTTATAGTTGTTCACAAAACCAGCTCATCGCTCTGCACTGGAAGAAGAATTTGAGACAGGCATTGAACGTGGAAAAACCCTGACCCAGTGTTCCAAATTTAACAATAGTGTAATTAAGAGAAGCTTTAGGATGTTCTGCTCAGGTGTGTGAGGCCAAGGTTTGTGCTGCTGGCATTATATAATGGATTTATCTCTTGTTTCTGTCGGGCTTCTTCACAATTGTCAGGCTCTTGAAAAATATTATTATATTATCTAGGAAAAAATGCTTCTGAAGCAAATAATTCTCACCTCTGTGTGTAACAGCAGGAGAACACGGAGTCCTGGATAATCAAGTTAATGGAGTTATTACAGGGAGGCTTATGGGACAAAACCCAAGTTTGAAAGTGAAAAGAGGCACATGGCACAGAGGATATTTCAGGAAAAGGTCATTTGGAGGGAGGACACCTATAGATACGGAGGGACAGAAATAGCACTGAGCAAAACAGGATGTCAGAGCTGTGACAGGTGACAAAATCAAATTTAGGAGTGAAAGACCCGGAAAGATCTTCAGCTCTATAACAAAACTATCAATAATTCCTACAAATATGGAATTCTTGCTGAATTTAATCCATGCAAGTGCTCAAGGCCAGGTTGGACAGGGCTTGGAGCAACCTGGGCTAGTGGAAGGTGTCCCTGTCCATGGAATGAGATGATCCTGAAGGTCTCTTCCAAGCCAAACCAGTCTGGGATTCACCAAGCCAGTCTGGAATTCTGTGAATGATGACTGATGGCGATTAATGTTTGATATCAAGAGTAAAAATAAAGTGAGCTATAGCTAATTTAGAAGGATACTTAAAAAAATTAAAGAATAAGTAGTTCTTTAATTTTTAAAGAAATTTTAAGAAAAATTAAATAATAAGAAGAAAAGTAAAGAATCATCTTGTTAGTGCAGCATAAACAGGTATAAACTGAAACCTAAGTTTGCAAGCACACAGATTATTTGCCTGAAGGGAACTGGTCCGTTAAAACACCTTTAAAGCTGGATAAACTGATCTTGAGAGACACCAATCAATTATTCTGCAAAATTTACACTTCCAAATGCTGAAATAAAACGGATGTTTTTCATGCAGCCTCTTTATACCCTTCAGAAGCAAAATATTTCATTTGGATGTGAAAGGCTGAAAGCCTGAGCTGAAAATGGCAATAACATGGGGTTTGTCAGATGGTCTGGAACTAAGATGCTTTTTTTTCTCCTGAGGTCTGTCTTTAATAGAAATTGGTTATGTAAAAAGTTACTCTGTTCAGTGAAGGGTTTTTATAACAATTTCTCTCTTGCAGCAATTTCCAGCAGCTCTTAAGAGCTCCCCTGCAAGAATAACTCTTGAAAGAAGTCAAAATGAACTCTGGCAATGCCAGAGCTGAAAAGGCCTTTTTTTTCCCCAAAAAAATTTATCCTGAGAAACAAACCAGCCAAATGCTGCCCTTTAAATGAGATTTAGAGAGCTCTTAGAAGAGCATCTCCTTCCTTCTGAGATTTCCTTGCTGTGTCACCAACAGCATTTTTGTGCTGGGACGTTCCCGATGGACTGATCTCCCCATCTCCCCACTGAATTAATGCTGCACTTCTCTAAAATCTGCTTTTTGCCAGCTAAAGTGCACACAGGAATGTGTTATCAGTGAAGACAACACTGTTCTGTCATCAGCAAGGAGGGATATTAATCAGTAGGGTCAGAATGTGCTTCTGCAGGAACACGATGCCCAACGGCTGCCTCCTGCAAAGTCAAGATTCTCCACTTCCAGCACAGAGCTGGGAATTTTTAAATTATCCTCTTTGATTTCAAATGGCTTTTGAGTCACTAAAAACGTAACGCTGGGCAAAATACTTTCTATATTTGAACTCTTACCTGATGTATCTCTCTTCTCTGCTGTTACAAGGTTTATCCAAATAACTCCACATCACTAAAATGCTGACACTTTTGCTAGGGATGGATTGAACAGCTAAACCAGGCACCAAACTAGGCACAGGCTGATGCAAAACCAACCAAACACTAAACTAGGCACAGCCAGATGCAAAAAGCCCTCACACCCTTCCAGCATCCCTTTCTTTGGCTTCCCTGGAACTCCTTCCAGACAGACTCATCAGGTCTTAATAAAGTCAAGCACAAAATTGTCCTCATCCTTCTCCCAGCATCTTTGATTCCTTCTCCTCCACCCTAAGAGGAAAATCAGCCCTGCCTAAGTCAGCAGATGGTATTAGAGGATATTCAGTTTACAAAGGCTGTGCACCAACATTTCCCATGATTTCCTCTGAAGTGGCTTTAAGTGTTCTGTACTAGATCCTTACTCTTTAGGCCAGACAGGGGTAGTAGTAACAAATTTTTTAAAATCTCTTTTTGGATGAGCTCCACTGGGAGCACGAGGCCTGGGGAAGCAGATCTCACCTCTCCAGTGGTTTGTGCCCAGCAAGGAAGGGCAGAAATAGCTCAGAAAACACATTTAATACTAATTCAAAGTGAATTTAAGTCCAGGAACAACAATTTCACATTAATGATGAAGGCAGCCAGTGCAAAGCCAAGGACCCCTCAGCTGTGGAGGTGGACAGGGAACCTCTCAAGTGCCCAACAGCCACGAACTGCTACATGTAAAATATCCAGCAAAAGGCAGGGAGGAAATAAATGAACCCTAGTGTCTAAATTCCCTTAATTTCACCCTTTTCAATCCATCCTCTGATATCCAGGGCCCTCCTGCAATGGGGTTGGACTAGAGGACTTTTAAAGGTCCCTTCCAGCCCAAAATATTCTGTAATGTGATGCACAAGATGGGAAAAGCCTCAGTGCAGAACGTGGCCAGAGGCTGCTGCACCAACCAACCAAAACCATCAAGTTCCAGGATATTTCTGAGGGGTCCAAATTCCATTTCCATCATCAGACAGGATTTTTCCTGAATTTTATAACATGTTTCTTTTGATTTATAAGGTTAACTCAAAGCCCTCTGTAGCATCCTGGTGGAATGGGGATTGTAATTTCATCTTGATTATGGTTCTTAGTTGCTGGCAGGATTTTTTAGCCAACACAATGTTTAGAATTCAGGAGGGGGATTTTAGAGCTTCAGCCTATTTTTGAAATGCAAGGCTGCTCTGCAAGAGAATTGCTTTTTAATTTATTTATTTATTTATTCTTCCACACATGTATATGACTCTATACACATGACAGTAGCTTGGTGATATTTGGTTTAATTTACTGAAATTAATCTATTTCAGGGTAAAACTGGCAAGAAATACGTCAGGTAAAGAAACTGCCCAATTGCTTATGGTCAACCCATCAGCTTTTCCAAAAGCACAAGGATGCAGTGCCTGGCTGGCTGCTCCCAGGGCACCCAGGCAGGAGGGAAAACCAAGCCTGGAAGCCCTCAAAGATCATTCCTCCACAGGAGGAATTATTCCTCCCATAATCCTCAAGGCCCTCCTAACCCGCAGGAAAAGCTGAACAATCTCATTCCCACTTTTCTTTTGCACAATGTCCTTTTTTTGACCCTTCCCTTTAACTTAAACATTTATTTTTTTACTCCAATTTCTAAATTAAACTCTTGGATGCTGGGTTAATTGAAATACTTTTATCATCACAATTAATAACTGATTGCTTTTTTCCTTCCCATTTCTAGCGTGGAATTGGATTTTAAACAGCAAGAAGACAAACTACAGCCAGTTTTGAGAAAACTTCATCCCATTGAGGAAACTCAGGTTGCACCTTTGCCTTATTCTCAGGAGAGCTACTCCTCTACTCCCAAGCAAAAATCCAAAACTGAATCAAAAAAGCATGGAAGATGGAAACTCTGGTTCCTTTAACCCAAGTGTGGAGTTCAAGGCCTTCTTTGAAAAATATTTGGAGTTCTATCCATCATCTCTGACAGGATCGTGGTGGATCGAGGAGGGTTCCTGGCCAACGGCAGCGTCCAGTTCTCACCGTATGTACCAAAAAGGCCTTTGTACCTTTGGACTCACCGGAGCAAGGGGTCAGGGAACACCTTGCCCACTTTTATTTGCAGTTTGCCAATGTGGGATGTAAAACCTGAATGGAAATTTGGACAGAGATGGAAAGCAAAACTATTTCCCCCCTCCTCAGATCTGAAAGCATCACGTTCTAACCTGTTAAACCGCAGGCTCCTCCCGTCCGCTCCGAAACATCACCTTGTTTTAAAGCCTTCTGGGGGGTAGGTGGGAAAAACAAAAAACAAGCAAGCCTTATGTTTGCAGTGGTGTCAGTTTTACAGATCCATGTTGATTGGGGAGTGCAGTTTTCAGCACAGAAATCCTGGACAAAGCACAATTTTTCCCGTGGCCCAAGGCCACGACGTCCCCGAGCCCTGACTGTGTGTTCCTGCCTTCACGCGACGTAGACTCCAACCAAGCTCTCACATTTCCACACCATCTCTGATTTAGCTGTGTCCTCATCACCAGAACAACCAGTTTGTTGCTCATCTCCAGAAACTTCCCAAAATCAGGACAGGCCTTTAACCACACCAAGCTCACAGGGTCAAGGCTACAGGACAATCTCGATGTCACTTTTGCTACCCAAAAGGTCTAAACGACACGTTCTGGCACAGGAAACCAAACCCAACCCCACAAACAGAACAATCATAATCTGGATTGTTGGCATTTGCCATAATTTAGTATTTTTTGTAACAGTCTTTGGAAAACCTCTCCACTATTGCAGAAGGCACCAGGAAATTTCTAGTCTGCAGCACGTGACGAAACCTGCTTGGAAAGGAGCTGGAATTTTAAATGCTGTTTATTTACTAAGCTTCTCAGATGGGTTTCCCAACTTATTATAATTTATATCTCAATCTATTAATTGTACTTGCTAATTGATACACACTTAGGGGAGAGATGTGAAGCAGTTTTTTTTTCCTAATATTATTTTGGTTTTCCTTTTTTAAATGGCACTTTAAATTTCGCTCTGACTTATAAACTGCAGCATTTTCCTTTAAGCGTTTGTTACCGTCATTAAACTTGCATCTAAAATGACCATGGGTGGAAAAATTCCTCATGTTAGAAGGGGCCAGCGAGTGGGAATCTTGCTGTCTTTTGTTCTGGGGGATTTTTTAAGGATTTCAGATAACTTGAGTGTCACGTGACAAACTGGGGTTTGGAATTGCATCACCTGCAGCAGCTTTAAGGTACCAGTTCCTCAGCCTTTAGGTGGAAGAAATGTGATCTTTAGTTTGCACATACTAAAAGTGCTGGAAGGGTTTTCCTTGACACTATTTTTCCTCTTAGCTGAGCAGCCAATCCATTACTACAAGGAAAATGGAGGAAAATAACTGGGTTGTTTTTCCCCCCAAAAGAGCAAGAAAAGGAAGTTAAATTGGGAATGCAGGTGATGTCCATGGCCAGCCCAAAATTAATTTCAGTCTGTTTTCATGGAATAAAGGCACCTTTGCAGTAAAACTTCAAGAGGGCTACGAGTTCTTGCACAGAAACAAGTATCCTGGAATCCTTTGGTGGAAGCTGAAGGATTAGGAAGGTGATCCTGTGTACCAGGAAGGAAGTGCCATTGTTTCACATGGGAAAAAAAAAAATGTGTTTCATGTATTTTATATTGTTTTTAATTAAAAATATAGAACTGTTTACATGACAGCCCACCTGACATGGTTCAGAATATTTCCAAACTAAAAAATACTATTTTGTTTTCCCTAAGGTGAAAGAAATCTCAAATATAGACAGAACAAGGAACACACAGCAGTATCCAGTATTATTTTAAAATAATGTTAATAATTCATGAACTCTTCCGTGCTCACATGCCTAGTGTTGGGTTTTTTAAAGAAATTAAACCATCTCTCCGTGGCAATCAGTTCCAAAATCCTTGTAGTGTCACCACCTCAGTAGCTTTGCCCATGAAGCTGTTTGTGTGTGACACCAAACCTGTTTCCGTGTGGTTATTGACTCATCCGGAGCTTCTGGAATCCCGGAAAACAAGAGAGGGAATGACAGACTGGCGAAACAAAGAGCTGAAAGGGAACGTTCTCACGGCGTGTTCTGTCCATGTCCAGGCTATTTTCTTAAAGGAGTTGCAAATTTTTAATTTTTTACATTTTTTTTAAAAACTGGGAAAAGCAAACATCCATCGAGTCTGGCTTCCCACCCGGCATCTCGTGTCCTCTCCTACCCTCCCATGTAATTTGTAATAAAATGTTTTTGCAAGTGTGTAAAATGTATCATATTGTATTGCCTTTAGAATCACTCAGGCTCAGGTTAGATAGACACCAAGAGGAAAAAAAAAAAACAAACAAACCCAACCCTAATTCTTTAGAGCTTTTAGTTAAATGTGACTGACCAGGCTGTTTTCACCCTCCTGTAGAAGATCTCTGAGGTTATGACAAGGAAAATGCGTTTTTACTTTCAGTGTGGCTTTGCTGCATTCACTGACAGTCCCCTGCACTTCATACACTGATTTTCTATCTGCACTTCTCCCATTTCCTGCTTCAAAATACTTTTTAGCCAATAAATACTGCAGTGATTTTATATCCCTTGCGATTTGAGTCCGTAATTTCCACCAAGCAACAGTTCCATCCTTTGGTTTAGAACTCTGAGGAAACACCATCCCTGTGAGTAGCCCTTGGTTTCTTAAAGATTAAAAATCACTGTAAAAAATAGTTTAAAAAAAAAATCAGGATAAACTGAAAAAAATCATGATTAAAACTGGAAAATCCTACTGTGGGTACAGAGTGTTTGCTTTTTCTTGCCTGAGATGCAAAACCACCATCCCTGCCTTTAATCTCACTTGATGTTTTAAAGGTTAATTACTTTTTCAAATCAAATAGGGTCATTTTTCACGGACTTTCCAATCTGCTGTTAGATTATCCCAGTTCTTTAGGATCTGGGTAGCAGCACACATTATATGTCTGGAATTTAACTGGATTGTCACTGAAAATCCACCAACACAATCCAAGAGAATGAAAGGAACGGCACGAAAAATTGTCATATTTCAGCAACCACAAAATACATCTGTGGTTCATTAAAATAAGGGGAGAGCTACAAATTTGCTGGCCATTTGATTAGGAGGATGCAGCTTCTTCCCAAAAATGTTGGTAGGGAATGGTCCCTACCCATCACTGCATCGGTGAGGGTTTGACAACACAAAAAAAATCCCACTTCACCTGCTGTGAAATTTAGTTTGCAGGATGTAATTTCAAATGATTTTGAAAGAGAAGAAAAAACATGTGATTCAATAAAACAAAGTATTTTCACATCGAAGAATTCCAGTGAAGAAAATGAAGTTGTCATCAACATTTTGGAATCCATTAACCCTGAACTAGACAGATTTTAAGGCACAGAAAGATAATTTACAAACAGCTTCAACTCCTAAATAACTGTAGCCTCAGAACTCTCTCCTGTGACTCTCAATAATTCATATTTTATACAGATTTGCTCTTGTATTTTACTGCCTTTCAGAAAGGCCTCCAGCCTGGAAGGTGCCAAGAGGTGGACAATCCACCACTGTCCTGGACTGACTGATTATTTGTCCTTAAGTTGCTCCCCCCATCAGAGCCACACTCTCTACTTTACTCCTGCCTCCAGCCCCTCCTCCCTGTGACCCGTGTCACCTGCATCCCACAGAGCTTCTCTATCACCAAGGGCCACCTCTACATCTCCTGCACATGGACCTCAGATGGCTTCTGCATCTCACCACAAATCCCTTTCTTTATTTGCTGATGACTTCTGCATCATTTCTGTCCTGGTTTCACCACATCCTTGTCCTCAAGCGTAGAGCGGGGAAAGAAGCGACCTGGGAAACACTCCACCCATCAGCAAAGCCATCAAGGCCTCTCCTGTCCACTGCTTCCTAGTCACACATCCCAAGAATATCCAAAATAGGATTTTTTGCCCTGATCTCAGCAGGTTTTCACACTGACTTTGTTCCCCACAGACCACTACGTGTTCAGAGCCTGTTCTTCAGGACAGACTGTTGGGAGTTAAAATCCCAGCTTGCTTTGGGGAATTGAATCACAGAACCATGGAATGGTTTGGGTAGGGAGGGACCTTAAAGATCATCCAGTCCCACCCCCTGCCATGGGCAGGGACACCTTCCACTAGACCAGGTTGCTCCAACCTGGCCTTGGACACTTCCAGGGATGGGGAGTCCACAACCTCTCTGAGCCCTCTTTGCTCTTACATCTACAAGCTACATTTTTTTCTGTATCAAAATGGAATTTGATTTGTTCCATCATACAAAGGAATCAAGACTCTATTCACTAGGATCACTGCACAGATCTGCCAACTAAAAGCATCTTCCAAAAATTACACAGAGGAATCCAAAAACCCCACCTGGACATCACAGGATCACAGAATCACGAATGTTTTGGGTTGGAAGAGACCTCCAAAGGCCATCTTGTTCCAACGCCCTGCCATGGGACACCTTCCACTCACTAGACCAGGAAATTTCCTTTTTAAAATTAAATTGTTCAGGAACTACCTTGGTTTTCTTGGCTTTTTAAATGAAGCACATTCCAAGCTGCTGAGCATGAGAAGGATTCCCTTTGGACCCACCATCGTGGCCGGTTAGCCCTGATTTATTGAAGGAGGACAATTGTTGCCTCACGCTGAAGAATGCTGGAACCCAACATTCTTCAGAAAAGGTAAGGAAAGGGATGGTTTAAAATCATCCTTCCAGAGGCTCAAGGATCTTGGCTCAATTTACTTTTTCTTCAGGCAACATGTCCTTCAGCAAGAGAGATGTGATTTTGTTCAAGGTGACTTCTCACTGTGCCAGGAGCAGGAGCAGCTCGAGGCAGGAGCAAAATTAACCTCAAACAGGCAGCTTTGAGCAGCAACCTTGCAGGAGACAGCTCAGCACCCACAGCCTGCATCCTGCTCCTCCCTCCACCAATAATATAATAAATATATATATCATAAATATAAAATAACACAGAACCTTCTGCTCAGCAAACGGATCAAGTAAAAACCACCACTGAGGCTTCCAGAGGGAAAAAAAAAGAATCTAAAGCAATGAGGATTAAAAATTCTCTTGCTACCAAAATTATGGTCAAATCAGATTTCAAACTATCAATTATACTCTGTTTTATTTGATATCTAGTTCTTCTCCTTGCAGCTGGTCTATATTATTTCAAGGTAATTCTCTTTTGAAGGTATATGAAAAAAACAGCTTATTTAATGTAGGAACTTACATTTAAGGATTCCAAAAAACAAATGTGCAAGGTCAAAGGAAACTGTTGGAGAATCTTCCACTTCAACACTCTAAAAAAGGCACCTCCTGTCATCAGACATTTTCACTTGAGCACTTAAATTCTTGACATTCCTCCACTGCTCATAAACTGGATTATGCAACATCAGGTTTGGGATAAAGATGGTATCACTGAGGATGTTTCCAAGGAGAAAACATGCAGTTTTAGGACACCAATACAATTAAATTCATGGAATAAACAAATTGTTATGTCCTGTATTTTCCTTCTTTTCAAAAAGTTATCATTACTTGTACTTTGCCTCTAAGATCCTTTACTTTTAGAATTCCTTCCTCTTACTCTTCCTGGATGGTTAATTCTCTACTATAAATTCCAGGTAAAAGTAAAAAAAGAAAAGTCAGTGCATCATTTCAACCCAAATCTGATCCAAAGGAAGTCAGGTTATGCTTCCTAATTATGATTATTATACATTTTGCTCTCCCTGCTTTGCTGACACTACAAAAATAAGTTGTTACAGGTTACTCACAGGGGCCTCCTTTCAGCAACAGGCTGAATTTCAAGTTAGGAGTAAGTACTCATTGAAAGTCCCCTTCCTGTTAGTCCTCATTAACTAATTACAGAGGCTGCAGACGGAGGGATTCCAGGCTGTGCTCATGAGCACCAGGGATATTTTTAATACAAATGTACTTAATTAAAACACAAACAGAAGTTTTCAGATCTAATGTGGTAACTGTAAAAGGCATAATTAACATTTTTGAATGCCATTTGAGTCATGTTCATCAAAACAATAATTAATTCACGTTCTACCTGAAGCTGAAGAAGTTA